GTCAAGAAGACAAAGATTCTCACCACTGGGCCAACTGGCAGCATCAAGATAGATGGTGAAGAGATTGAGATTGTTCACAGCTTTAGTTTGCTTGGCTCCACAGTCAACACTCTTGGCACCAGTACCCTGGAAATTTAAAAGACATATTGCAGTGGGAAAGTCTGCTCTTAGGGACCTCTCTAAAGTACTGAAGAGCCATGGTGTCTCTCTGGAGACTAAAGTGCGTTTGATACAGGCCATGGTCTTTGCTATCACTTGTTATGCATCAGAGAGTTGGACAAGGACTAAGGAGGGTAGAAGAATTGATGCCTTTGAGCTGTGGTGTTGGAGAAGAGTATTGAATGTAGCATGAATGCTAGGAAAACAGATTCATCCTGGAAAGTTAAATGGGTGGCTCCTTGGAGGCAAGGATTCTGAGGCTCTGTCTTAACATACTTTGGACATGTTGTAAGGAGGGACTGGTCCTTGGAGAGGGACATCATGCTTGGTAGGGTGGAGGGACAGAGCAGGAGAGGAAGGCCCTCTGTGAGGTGGATTGAGTTAGTGACTGAGGTAATCAGGATGGGAGTGTCAGTGCAATTGGCACAGGACAGAGCAGAGTGTAGGGCTGTTGTACATAGGGTCACTATGAGTCACAAGCGACTCGATGGTACATAACAACAACATTTGGACTTAGGAACTGTATATTTAGACTTAACGTATAACAACATTCCCAGCTTTGACAAACAATTTTTAAGGTAATATGGTTTGTGTTTAAAACAGAAGTAAAAAGTTTATGTATATCTTACTTTTTAACTTAAAAATACTTAGGTCAGTGCAGTTTCTCCCTAAGTGTGAAAACTCTAGGCTTAGTTAGTACCCTGTCTTCTCACCCTTTCTTTGCTTCCTTATGATTGGATCACTCAGGTCCATGATCCCATTCATCTCTCATTTTCCCGCTTTAACAGTGACTTCTTAGCTTTTATGGTGATCCGTTTTCTTGTGCTTATGTAAAAGTTCACATAAATGCATATTCAATTCTAAAACTTTAAAATTTGCCCACTTTTTTACTATGTAAATAGAATGATCCTTTGAATCTTGGACTTCTTTGATTCTTTACTTTTAAGATTCATGTTATTGCATCAACTTTAGTTTGTTTTCTGAGATATATTAGCCAAACATAGAAATTTGTTTCTGACTGGATTCAGATTTGGAAATAGATGTTCTCATAGAGGACAGCCTCCATCTCTTGGCAATCTGTTCCTGTGGTTTTTCTTCGGCATCCTTTAGTCCACTTGGCCAAAAGCTTAATGTACTCTGCAGCCTCCTTCTTACTCTTTTTCTTCAGCGAAATGTGCTGGTGCTAGTGCTGCAGGATACGTGGAGAAACAAGACACTGGGTTTCCTGCCTTTATTCGGTGGTTTTCTCACAAATCATCATTTGACTGACATCATCTTCCTTAGAGATTGAAGAGTTTGTTGCTAGTTCAGTTTTTTGTTTTAAATTATTGTGTGATTCTATCTTAATGGGTGCGTCAGAGACAATGAGGTTGGCAAAGGATAGAGCAAGGTTCAGAGCTGTTACATATCAGGTTGCTATGCTACAACACATACCTTAATAAGGTAGCTCTGGTGGCCTAGTGGCAAAAAGCTGTGCTGCAATTTCAGGGCACATGGTTCAAGGCTACCAGATGTTCTGTGGGAGAAGGATGGACAAACTTACATACGATTAACTGCCCCTGAAAACCCACTGGAGGGTCAGCTATGGGTTGGTTCCAACTCTAGTACCTAATAACATATCTTAATATACCTATTTATATGGATGGATGTTTGAGTTATTTGGTGCTATTACAAAATACTTCTCTCTTTTTTTTTTTTATTGTATTATTTTACGTGTACCATCAAATCAGATCTGACTGGTACAGGAGGAGATTGCCTCCTCCTTTTCCAGCAGAGCATCTGGTGGATTTGAACCGTTTACCTCTGGGATTGCAGTGCAGCGTCTTGCCATTAGGCCACCAGAGCTGCCTTATACTTCTCATTTTTTAATGAGAAATATTTTTTAAATCTTTGTAGACATGTTTGTCCTTTTCTAGGTTTGTCTTTTTTATTAGCCCTGGAATAAAGTTACTGAAGTCTGAGTTGTGCCAATTCATACCTCGACACCACTGTGGAAGAACGCTCATGACTCAGATTGTAGGTGGGGTTTTGGGACAAATTTTTTGTTAGGTTGTTTTTGCTTGTTGATTTCTAACAATTCTTTTATATATTATGGATGTGAGTCTTGTGCCATTTAACATGTTGCAGTATTCCCTCTGTTCTGATAGGTATTAGCCATAAAACAGAGTGAATAAATTGGGATTTTCCTCTCCTCCCCTCCCCAATATTGTGTTAAAGCATTTTGCTTTCTTTTCTTTCTGGTTCCAGGATTTTGATCAAGTGCTAAATTTTCTTTTCTCTGGCATCACTGATGTCTTTTCTTTGGGAATTACTTTGTACTTAGCACAAATTCAAGTCTATTTTTTAAGTGTCTAAAAGGTATTTAACCATCTCCTCCTTCCAGAATCTTATTTGTGATTTCGGGAGTCTCCCTCTTCTGTTATCTTGAAGATTTAACTACAAGAAACCTTTTTTTTAATTTCTTTATTATTTGTGTGTGTGTACCATCAAATCAGATCTGACTGGTATAGGAGGAGATTGCCCCTCCTTCCTCGGCAGAGCATTAGGTGGATTCGAACCGTTTACCTCTGGGATTGCAGTGCAGCTTCTTGCCACTAGGCCACCAGAGCTCCCCTAAGAAACCTTTCTTACTAAAGGAACCTGGGTTTGTCAAACATACTCTGCCCTTATTTCTATTAGTTTTGCCTGAGCAATTTCAGATAGTTCAAAGCCCTGCTTTATTCTGCCTTATAATGGAAATTTTTTCGTTCAATATAAATTTTTAGGTTAGAACTAATTTTAACTTTCCATTGTGGACTTTGTGAGAATTGCTCTTGAAATCTTTGCGTTTGACCTGTTTATTCTTAAATCTTTTTGTCTCCAGATTGACCTGTTTATTATTCTTAAATCTGTCTCTAAAATCTTGAAATCCTGGGATGATGTGGTTTGGTGGGCATTCCTAAAAATTTGCCTTTTTTTTTTTTTTTTAACTTCTTTAATCCTTTAAGTGACTGTAAGAGAGCTTAACCCTTGCAATGTTGGGATTTTTTTAAAAAATAAAAGTGTTAATACTCATTTTTTGCCTTAATAAAACACCACTTTCGAAGTTGTTCTGTTTTATACCATAGGTTCGGTTTTCCAGTTTGGTGGGAGCACTACAAATTTCAACTTCACCAATAACAATCCATCAGGGGTCTTCACATTTGGGGCGAATGCTGGCACACCTGCAGTCCCAGCCCCAACTCAGCCCTCTGGCTCAGGAGGATTCTCATTTAGCCAGCCTTCAGCAGCAGCATTTACATTGGGGTAAGAGAACACAAAATTTTTGTTGAAATGATGAATTAAGAAACACATACAGGGATGTGTGTGCAATGTATACACGTTTTGTTTACAAGATCACTGAGGTATGGGAGATTTATACCACGTCAAGTTTTACCCATGACAGTTTTGGGGGACGATTAAAAAGAGCATTAACTTTGTGCTAGATGAGTGTTCTTGGTGATATGTCAGGCTGACAGTCCACACTTAACTGCTAGTATGTGGAACAAAGATGAGGCCGGTAGGTCCCGTAAGATTTATAGCTTCAAACCCCAGTAGAGCAGTTCTGCCTTGTGTCGTGGGTTACAGTGAGCTGAAACATGTTCATTGTGGTCGGTAGTATACTTGCTTTAGCAGGAAATGGATTTACATTTACAGACACACCCTCTCGCTTATCTAGTGATTTATGATAATCTGAGCATTATATCACATGAAGTTTTTTATTTTCTCACAGGTCAACTGGGAAAAATCTGTTTTCTTCTTCTGGAACTTCACTTTCTGGTCGTAAAATAAAGACTGCTGTTAGACGTAGGAAATAAAGATCACAAAAGTGCTAATGCAGCAGTTTTAATGAAGGCTGGTGTCCTGCTTTCAGATACTGGATTGTCCTACATGCTGGGGGTTATCTGAAGTCAGCTCTGCCTAAGGACATCTTTCAATTGGAAACATTCTTTTTCTTTACAGAAACCCCTACCCTCGCCCCTTTTTTAAATAATAGCTAACCTATGACTGATTCTTCAGCAAAAATATTTTATGATCCAGCAAATTATTCAGATTTGGCATGGTGTGGCTGTCCCCAGGGAGAGAGCCCTCCCAGCAGTGGCTTTGTGTTGCTCCTCATCTGCCCCACTCTGCGCTCGCTGATGATGCGTTTACAAAACGCAGTGGAACTGTAATTATATTGGAGGATTCTGTATAGATTAGAGGATGTTGAAATGAATGATTTCTATGCCGAGTTTGTGCTGGTGTATGTGTGAAGTGAGTGACTTGGGTGTATTGTGCACTAAAATTTTCTGATAGAGGAAGCCTGATTAAAGAATGGTCCATGATAAGGACTTGTTAGATCTAGTTCTCCATTTAATAACTATATGCTATTTCTATATTTTCATTCTTACCTATCACCTGTCTTGCCTTTTTCATTATTTTATTATGAAACCTGTGTAAATACAATTTGGTTTCCGTACTTTTTTGACATAACATAAAAATCTGTGAACTTGAAATTTTAATTTTGTGTTAGAAATTTTTCTGTTGTTTGTTTAGTCTTGTCTCAGATTTTATTATGTAAATCCCATTATTCAAAGTTGCCTAAATCCATTTGGAAATCTTTAAAAAAAAAAAAAATTGGGGATTCTTAAAATGAATTTATTGGCTTTTCTGATCCAGTTTTGTTTGGACCAAAAACCAGTATTGTACAAAGTATTAAGCATATATTTTTATATTTACTGAAATGGACTGTGGTGACTTTGGATAATAAGGAAAAGTTTAATATTAAAGCCATGTTTATTACAGTATAATTAACATGTTAAACCATGGGATAAATGCCATCAATAAAATATTACGAAATACTTTTCATTGTAGTTTTAACTCATAATGAAAGGTAGAAAATACTAATGAGCAGGAACTTTTGATAATTGTCATGTACAAGGTAAATTCCAACAGGATCCTTGTAGTAAGTTTGACAACTCCTAAATTAAGGGCACAGTGTCAGTGGAGGACATAAAGAGCTGGGAACCATGCCCAAATTGCATGTAAATTTACATGCCTTTTTAAAAGTAGAAAATAAACACATGCAACCATTCCTGCTTGAACTTGTACCTTCCTTGATAAGCTAAACAGTGTTTTTTGATTGGGATATTAGAAGTAAATGCCCAAAGCAAAAACTGCCTTGGTCCATTTATGCACAATTTTTTAGGGGTTGGGGATGGGGGCTATGTTTGTTTTTTTAAAATTAGTTTATTAAAAGGGTGGTTGGAACAGCATTTAATTATATTTTTTTATTTGAATACTGTGTACCCACTTGAGTTGAACTTTTGGTTGGTTAGAAGGTAAATTAAACCTTTTTTAAATGTTTTAGCAGCTTACTTCCCACAAGTTACTCCTCTTCATCAAATACTGGATTTGGAGGTTATAATATGTACTTAATACATATTCAAGTATATGGCTCTTTGGGAATGGGACATGGTAACACTGACTTCTGAAAGAAAAACTGGAGCTTTCTCTAGCCCACATGAGAATGGGAATATTAGGCTTTACAGACTTTTCTTACAAATGCTCTAGGCAAAGTATCTCCCAGTTTGTTTTGGGTTGTTTTTTTGTTGTTGTTGTTGACACATCTGCTTGCTAAGAATGTAGTTTTTTCCTCCCCTCACTTGCTTTTCTTCTCCTCACTTGGGTCATACTGGTTTAGCTTTTTTGTCACGACCCATGTAAGCCCAATAGCATTGTTACTGTCACTACTTGATATTTATTACAAATTTCTTGAAATTGCATATATAATTGGAATTTCATTACCTGAAACAAAACTGATTGTTATTAACAGTAGTTTATAACTTGACTCTGGTTTACCTGGAAGATATTTGCTTTAATTTTTGTGCAAATTTGAGGACTGGTTTAAAAGTCCGTTGGAGCTTTTACAAAGCTTAAGTCAGTGTTTTGCAGAAATTGACAATTCTCGTTTAAAATGGGGTGTTTGGGTCTACTCTAGCCACCAGCTGTGCGATCATGCAAGGAGTCCCCCCTTTTCCTTACAATATGGATTAACTTTCATAAACTCATAACACAGGCCTGCCATGCTTTTGTAGTTTGTGGCCATATTTCATCAAGATCATCCTATTTTCACACTGACCATTCTTGAACAACCTGTTAACTTATATCCTGCTTTTCTTGCCTTGTTCTTAAAAGGTTTCTGTATTAAAAAGCCTTCAAGGTCAGAACTAGGTTTCAGTTGTCCACCCATTTACTAGCTATGAGACTTTGAAATATCTTTCTTCATGGGAAACAAGTATTTCATATTGGTGGTGTAATGAAACACCTTAAGAGGATTAGTTTAACCCTTTTGTGACTCATGAGGCATAGTACCCAGTTTCCTTTAGTGGGGGAAGCTGCTATCTCAACTTGGTATGTGTTGTCATGTATGTGGTGGCGGCGGCCTATATAATTGAATGTGGAGACTGGCCTCATCCCACCAACTACAGCACTAGACACTCCTAGGGACATGTGTCCCACTAGTTGTAACCATAATGCTTATATATTAATTTAAATGCAGAGAATGCTATAGCAGCTATATTTGTTAAGCAGTGTGCCCCCTGTATGAGATTTGAAGTAAAAAATTTAGCAGCAACAGCAAATAGTCTCAAAACACAAAAGCATCAGTGACAAAGGTATTTATTGAGACAAAATACAAATTGGTGGTGTACACATTAATAAAAATAGAATGGTGCATTTATGTTTATGCTGGCCATCAGATACTGTTTGTGGGACAAACCCTACTATAATGAACTGCTAGGAAATCCACATCGTTTGGAATGAGGCAAGCACAAGAGATTTTGACCTTTGCCTTGGTGGACTGAGGTGACTATGATAGTGGTGCTATGTGAAATGATACTTTTTCAAGCTATGCAATCATAGAAATACTGTGAATGAGGTGTTATTTGTTAAAAACTAGCCCGTTTAAACAGAAACTGGGGTAGTGAAAAACATTAAAGTTCCTTTTTTACTGTGTTCCTTGTTCGACTCAAACAAGCGTGTGGTGAAAACACCTTTCTCCTCTAGTAAAAATTTTCACTGTCATTTGAATAGACACTGCTGGTTTTGGTTTTTTCCTTCCTCAATTTCAGATATTTAGGTGAATTTGGAAGGTAAATCATTTAGAAAGCAAGATAATTACTGAACCAGTGGTATAGAAATAACAGTTAAGCAGTGCTTTTATTCTACTTCTAAGTCTAAAATCTTGCAGTCATTAACACTCTTAGGGTTATCACTTCACTTTGTATTGGACTTTTCTCAAAGTGAAACAGCCTTCAGGGTACTTTTAGTGGTCAAAGTATTTTTTCCCCTTGTAAAAGTGAAGAAAGTTTTTACTACAGACAACTTTACCTATTTAGGGTACAGTTTCAGTTTCAAAATGATTATTTATACTTTAATACAGAAAATTTAATACTTTCATTAATGAAAAAGATTAAATAAATGTTTTGACAAGAAGGGGATTCTCCTCTCTCCAACACCAAGAGAAAAAGTGGTTTTCTTCAATCCCCAGTGTTTTGTCATTTTTTTTCAAACTTTGGGAATCAAAGTGCATTCATACACAGTCAGGTTATTGTTGTAAAAAAAAGGCAAAGTACTTTTTTTTTTATATACTAACTTAATTCCAAAGCTGGATCTGAATGAAAGTATTATTTGTTAAAAACAGCTTGTTTTTAATAATAGTAGGATAAAAAACTGTTTCTTTTCACTGCCTTTCCCTTTCTGGAAAAGGTATGTAAATAAATATTAATCTCAATATGCCTAAGTCTGTCTTTAAGTCAAATTTGTACAAAAGTCAGAACGGGTGCCATTCAGATCTAACATCAGTTGTTTGTCTTAGTGTAAAATAAGTGCCCTTTTCTGTGCATAAAAAACATTAAACACATCTATAAACCTTTAATGTTTTGAGCACACTACAAAGTAGTGTGTGCTTGTTGATAAAAACCACTGACTGTCCCTTGAATTTTAACATAATATGCTTCTCAAGGTTTGTACTGTAACCTAGGGACTGCCAGTATGGCAAATGTGTAAATACTGCATACAAATGAAGTTGCCCTCTTGCTTGCTTTTATTTTATTGCCTGAATAGTTCATTAAATGACCAAGAATCATAAAAATGTAGCTCTGAAATACATTCCAGTTTCAACTACAGTAAGTGGTAGTAGTGCATCTATCAATGCTAATATATGCACTATTAAGTGCTAAACTGATACATTTCTGAAGATTTATCAATTAAAAAGATTTTTTTTTAAAAGTGAAGGGCCCTAAGACCTTAATCTTACAGTACTAAACCAAATGAATAACGAACTGCCCAGTGTGTTCTGTTTAGGGAAAAATAATAGTGTCTGTTTTACGGCAATTATCAGAGATGGAAAAAATGCTTAAAAATCAAAGTATAAACAGTACAGGAGTACCTCAATATGCCTAACTCTATCATCCAACAAGAGCTCATGTACAAAGAAAAACTGTGTCTTTGAAGAATTAAAAGGGCCAGAAGCAAATGATTACTTTGTCTAGGTTTCCTCTAAACGTCTTCCCTCACAGACTCAAAATTACGGCTTACAGAACCAAGTGAATGCAGAACAATCACACTCCTGTGCTTCTTAAAGGGAACAACCCATGATGGGTAGCATTTTGGATATATACTAAACTGTTGGATCTTTGAACAGTCATGGAACTGTATAAAATATATAAAAGGAAACTGGAATGTCCTGTGTAGAGAGAAATTATATTCATAGTCAAAACACTTAAAAGCAGTAACACGTTCATCATGCTACACACAGTTCAATGCAAGGAATTTCCCCAATTTTATCTAATTGGATTTAGGGCACTGAAAACACTTGAACATGAATTTTAAGTGAAAATTTACCCTAGCCTCAGTTAAGAGCAATCACTAACTTAGCATTTCTTTTTAAAAATCAGTAATATAGTAATACAATAATACTTTTTCATCATCATGCAAACTTATCCCAAAAAATACATTTAAACAACAATAGTTGTAGTTACATCATTCCCCAAATAAACTTCAGTATGGATTTAAAACATAAACCAAGGAAGGCTGCCTCACTCACTCCACTCTCTTGCAGTTCAACTTGCCATCTCTTTGGAAAGGAAATCAACAAGTTATTAAATAAATTCTCCTTCCTCTTCAAAGAAAAACAATTTTCCAAAGACATTAACGAAAAGAATTAGGTAGGTGTTTACAAAACACAACTGGTCACTTTCCATAATCTTAGGCTAAACCAAAATAAATAGTAAGAAATCACATTTGGAGATTTCAAAGCTTTCAGCCAATCTAAAGCCTTAGATCGTAAGAAAGCACATACTGTCCACTGTTCATTTTAACACCACTTCCTTTTGCTTTTAACAAGCTTAACACTTCAATATAACAGGTAATTTTTTTTCTTCTGGTGAAGTTCTTTGGCATGCAAGTAAAAGCAATACTTTGAGAATAGTCACCTGCATCACAATGGAGCGGCTGACTGCTTTAATGTCTAAATCATCACTTAATGTGACCCAGGCAGACTGATGGCCTCAGTACAGAATTTAGTCTTGTTGATATTCCTAAGAGAGCATGGAATTCAGGGCTGCTGCTGGCATCATCTGACCCCGTTTCTTTTTACCACAATGGTTCCTGCTACAATGTCATAGGCTGTTCGATTATGCTGAAAAAACAGCAGCGTGATGAAAGCAGGGAAAAAAGAAGCAATGGAAAAATTCTTGATCAAAGCTCTTACAGTAGACCTGAAAAGACAAAAAACTGTCAGGTACTCTATAAAGATAAATGGTATTTGACAATACAGGTATTGAACATAGTGAAAATACAGCTGACCAACCAGGGTTTTTTTAACTCTTGTGAGTTATTTTCAAACAGCATTTTATGATGATAAAACTAACATAAAATACTTTAGAACTTTATTATGAAAAACTATAATAAATATGCCTTATGTAAATTAAGGCTTTATAATTATCAGATGTTTTATCAGAGGAATATTCCCTTTGTTTATTTACAACTACTCAGTTGTGTGCTGTTGACTTGGAACCAATCCATCGCTGACCTTCCAGTAGGTCTTCAGAGGCACAGGAGAAGAATGCCACGCCATGGAGCAAGCTGATGGAACCAAACAGTGTGCTTTCAGGATTGCAACACAGCTTCTTGCTATTAGGCCACCAGAGCCCTCGTGCATATTTCTAGTGTATCTCCTAAGTTTAATGCTAAGATACTTTCTAGTCTCTTCTGCTTACTGCAGCTTCACTTTATATAAAGGAATAGGATTCCAAATCATTCTGTTTTTTCCAAGTATTCTTTATGAGATCCTAGAAAAGCTTTAAAAACCGTCCAATAACAACTTCTAATGGAAACTTCTAATGCTACATTTCTGAGCCTTTTGTACACTGAAAGCCAAAGGATGTGGGATGCAGTGGGATGTGAATCCAGAACATATGATTTCAAATCCATCTTAAAGACTGAACTGTGTTAAACCAAAAGTACAAGCAACTAGACTATATGAAAAATGTAGCAACAGGAAAAGATGCAATCATCCAAGTAATGCAGGTGACAACCTTCCATGCAGAAAGTGAAGAATATTTGAATCACTTAAATACAGAAGATCAAAGATGAGATTAGTCTTCTATATGGATTACATCTCAACATCAATCCTCACCACTGAACCAATACATTCATGACAGATGGAGGAAAAACCTAAAGTTGTCAATGATTTCATCTTACTTGGATCCACAATCAACAACCATGGTAGGAGCAGTTAGGAAATTAAAAAATCTACTGTCAAGGACCTCTCCAAAGTGCTAAAGAGCAACAATATCAGTTTAAAGAGTAAGATGTGCCTGATCCAAGCCATGGTATTTTCAATTGCTTCTCATGCATCTGGAAGTTGAAGTGTGAATTATGATGTTGGCAAAGTGTACTGACTATTCCATGAACTGCCAAAATAAGAAGTCTATCTGGGAAGAAGTGCAACCAGGGTGCTCTTTAGAGGCAAAGTTTGTGAAACTTGGTCTCATATACTTTGGGTCTGTTGTCAGAAAGGGTCAATTCTTGGGAAAAAAAAGAGAGGAAGACCCTCAACAAAATGGAATGCCACAGGGTTGATTATATGGGAGATTGTAAGGATTGGTACAGTTTAGGGCAAGATTCTGACCTGTTCACAGGGTTACTATGAATCACAGCTAACTGGACAGTACCTAACAACAACAAATTAGAGACATGCTATCCCCTATATCTGAGGTTATAATATCTGAGTTTATAATCCCACTTGTGAATGAGTTTTCTTTGTTGTGTATGGTGTGTGTTATTCTCATCACCTTTGAGATATAAAAGCTGACTAGGCAGAGAAGCCTGGAAAGAGGGGGGAAGACAGATGCTACCTCATATGAAGATCACCAAACAGACAGGAACAAGGACCTTCCCCAGAGCAAATGCCTTGGACTTCTAGCCTCCTGAAACTGTTCTTTACCTGTTTGTTAAAGTCACTCATTTGTAGTATTTCTGTTCTAACAACACTAGATAACTAAGACAACCACTTACTAGTTGTGTTCCATGCCTGTAAAACGGGACAGAAAATCCGATTTTGTAAGATTGTGAAAAGTTGTTATTACACATGTACTGGTTAACATTTCCAGGTATTTAAGATATGCTCAATGAACATTTGGCTATTACTGCCTCTTTATTTTGAGTTTAAAATTAAAGTATCCAGAAGTATTAAGTAACTAGGAAATCTTGAGGATGTCAGCAAAATCAAGGCTTCATGTAGTTATCACTCACACATATTTCTTTACAATCATTCTGGTAGCAGTTCCAGTTAGTGCTCTCTATTAGTCAGTCAGAGATTACCACCATTCAGCACTGGAATGTCTATCACTGTTGGCTGTACCTTCCCCTAGGGCCACATGCTACAAGTATTGAGAACACTTAGTTGTCATTTAAGAGCAAGAACAGGATGTGTGCATGCACAACTGCCAAAACTCTCTTCCTATCTGCTCAAGATGGATAATATAGTCTCCTAACTGACCTGGCCACAAAGAGAGAAGAGTAAAGTGGATATCCTTTCCTTATAGTGACCTATATTTAATAAAATGATCATCTTGAAAACACTAAAAGTGGTCTAGACCTGAAATAAATACTCATAAGCTTTGTCTTAAACCTTAATAAATGTAGTCCTATTGAAATGAATTCCCCCACTGAAGAGTAAAGGAAGAAAATACAACTATTTTGAAAATACTATATTAAATGCCGTGACTTCTGAATTATGCAGATTACTAAAAAGTTTACCATTTTCCAACTACATAGTAAGTACACTGAGTTAAGAAAAAGACTTACGTTGTAATGCTAACATTTGAAGAAGGAATCACTAAAACTCGACTTGGTGCGATAAGCACTGACGTGTCGCATGTCACAACTCGAAGTCCTAGTAGGAACTTCCCTGGAGTGGCTCCACCTGCTCCCCAAATGCAAATGATCTGAAGAGAGGAGGAGAAAAACAATCCATGGTTCACCACATTTAAATGTAAGCCTTCCTGTCATAATTTGTTTTATAAATTTCAAGTTGAGAGATTATTTCATAGATTACTATGATCTTCTCAAAAGTTAACCATTTACTACATTTCTGCAGATCTCTATGTACTACTGAGTCCAAACCAACCCATTGCTGACCCTCCAACAGCTTTCAGAGGCAGTAAACTACACAGGGAGCAGCTGGATTCGAACAGTGTGGCTTAGGGTTGGAAATGCAGTTCCCACCAAAAGGCATCTACTGAAATATTTTTTTTTCCCCAAAGGATTTTTATTAATTTTTGTGAAAATTTAGACTTTGGATTTCCATTCATTCATTGTTGCTCTTTCTCCCTGCCCACCCCTTCCCACCAGTACCACTTTTCTCTTCGAAAAGTAAAGGAAAAATTCTTTCATTGTTTTATGACCCCTTCCCCTCAGGTCCACTCCACTATGCAGCCTTTGTTCTGGACTCTTATCATGACAATAATACATAATCACATATCCATTTTAAACAGCTTTCTCCCTCACCTGTTTCAATGTTGTTGTTTGTTATGTGCCATC